GGTGCTGGTTGCTTGACAGCGAAGCGTCAGTACAGTGTGCCGGCGTAGTGCTGGCGACTTTTGGCTTTTGACAGTACACAAGAGTATGACGAAACATGAATGCACACTCAGACGCAAGCGGTTTCCCATAACCTTAGAGGAATCATGCTTGACACCAATAGTGGAACATTGGCGGCGGGAGACTAAGAACGCTAGAGCAAACCGCAGCAGAGGCCAGGGTAAGAGTTCCTGGTGCAGTCACAGAGAAGGAAGGTAGGACCGTACGCTTAGGCACGGCTTAGTATATATCACCAACATGCGTCCCTTATGTCGTTTAATCTCTCGAGTAAGGGACAAACAAAAGGGGACCTTTAGGACAAGCAGACTGGTAAACCACAGTTCTGTGGTTAACCAATGAACATATCCAACCGATATGTCGTCACAAGGTGGGATCGAACTAGGCTCTCGGACTGAGGCTGCTCCCACATTCGCTCGAAACGCGAAGAACAAGTGCATCATTGCAAGTGTTCAAAATAGAAGATCAGTCAGCAAGTAAGATTGAATCAAATGTCAGTGCTCACCGCTCCGTTTTGTGGGTAGATCTGTTCACTGACCGATGTCAGTGCCTTCATTGAAGATCCGGTCAGCAGCATTGAATGGTGGGAACTAAAGCTAGTAACCACTTGCGAACAACTTCAGTTCGATTAGTGAGATTCCTTTTGCGAAAACTTACCTGAGCGCGTGGTTTCCCTCGGCCACGGTGTTGCTGATATGTTGCTCAAGCGCAAAAACATGGTGAGAAATCTCTGTAGTATAACACCAGTTCCGCCTCTCATCTGCATCACTGCGAAGTAGGTCCCGATTTGTAATCAGTTACAGTTAAAGAAGTGATGCTAGCCCAAAAAATAGACTCGGTGCACATGGCACATTTAGGACCATGGCCCCCTAAGCGTTGTTCCTGACAATTTCTGGCATGTAGTACAAATTGGCTAGATAGTGTTAGCATTATAACGTCTGACTGTAACAGAACCCACTCCGAACGGGAAGCAAGAACACAACGCGCTGGGACGAACTGTGTTAAACAATTGGTATGCCGGAGCAAACACAACGAACAAAGATCAAAAGATCAATCAGCTAACCACATGAATGGGCAGTTATGAGTGGTGAGCGGTCTTACTGAATGGCTGTGCTGCGTCCGTACAACGCGATCACGTGACAGAGCCGTCACGAATGTCGACGTTCACAGCTGTGAACGACTATCCTACGTGAGTCCGTCTAATAAGAAGCAAATTAAGTTTGAGGCTCAGTAGTGGTAAAAGAAGACAGAGGGTGTGATTGAGTTAATGAGGAGCTGAAATAAGTCTTGTTTAGTTGCATCCTCGGTGGTGCGTGTACTGAAAGAATTCTTTCCGAAGAGTTGTCCTAGAAGCTGCTATGGATCACGGTAACACGGGTAGTTTATTTAGGTTTATAAGCCTGTTCTTTTTTCCTCCTCAGTTGCATGAGCAATAGAGATGGAAATCTGTCATTTCGCAAAGAAATTGTCGCAATGAGGTAACGCAGATCAAAACAAGTTTATACAGTCTGTCAGATGCTCGCATTGAGCTGACAAGTAATCAGCTGCGATTATTGAAAAATCTGTTGGATTCAGTATGGATTTCCGTTTTCCGATGTTATCTGCTGTGCAGTTGCGTCGTTTAACAGTTCTGAATGACGTTTTCGTCAGCTTGGTATAGTTGTTGGTCACACTGTATAACTCGGGAAGTAGCTTTATTATGCAATGATCGGAATTATCAAGAGGTGCTTGCTTTTGTGTAGAAAATACTTTAAATTTGTTAGTAAAACTAAATCCAGATGCGCCTCGAGTCCAGTAGGGCATTTCACCAAATTGGCTAAGCCCATGGTATTAATGAAATTGCTTGTTCATGTTGCAATTGCCGGCGAGAACACAGATGGAACATTCCAATTTTGGTTGCAACACCAAGGTAAGATTGTCTGCAAACTTCCGAAGCTCGAACAGCCTTGTGTCCGGAGCTACATACACCTTCCCAAGCTTGTTTTACACTCCAAAAAGCAACAGCTACGAAAGTTTTGAAACGGATTTACACCAATCTTGGTTAATGTAAGTGGTGACAACTCCACGACGTTGGGTGTCACCTAGGCGGTCGGATCTAATTGGGTGATAACCATTGAGATCAAGGATTTTATCATGAATGTCCGAATGCAACCAAATTTCCTGCAACATCCCCATACCTCCATTTATGAATCCCCTTCTCTTCAAAAGGTTTGCTAGATCGTCAATTTTTCCGAGAAACGATCGTACATTGCTGCCTAGCATAAGCGGTATTTGCGTCTTTTTAACGGGACAGTGCTTGAGTCCTACTTGCCAGTCCGTACGATGCTTTTCCATTTTTTCGCGGCTTTGCTTGTTAACTCTTCTGAAAGTGTTTCTGGTCTTGTGGCCGAATTTAATAAGAGGCAATTTTCATACATTGTCTCGAAGGTAAATCAAATACTCAACCGAGTATGATAACATTGGTAATTGTGGCATTGATTAACTTAAACAAAGGGTAAAATTACTGACGAGTACTGATGAGTAAAAGTATTCCTGTAAACATAAAAATTCCGCAGTGAGTAGTGTAAAATAATATTCCGGTGGTAACGGCAAGGGCCGAATTCGAAGGCTACGCGAGGAAGTATACCTGGCCCTGCGGTCTTAAACTATTTCAACAGTCCGATCTCACGTTTGACATCTACGCGTAAGCACGGATCCAAGGAGACGGTCCAGGGAGAAATGTAATCAATGCCCGAAAAAAGTGATAACAGTGGATGATGAAACTGCATTGCAAAGTGTTCGGCCCACCATTCCAGGCGTTTTAACAAGAACTGCCGTCGCACATGGTGTCGCTAACATCAGGAATCCTCCGGCCTATTCACCGTATCTGACGGGTTACCAACGGTAGCAGCTGTTTACATGAACATGAAGAGTCCACCTGGCTTCGCGGCCTTCCTTGCGAATTGCACTATGTGCGCTTCCAACCGAAACACATCGGCAAGCATCCAGAAGTTCCAGAAACGCGCAAATTCTGGAGAGAGACCCAATTGGCGATTTAGTTTGTCACCTTAAGGCATGCTTCCTAATAACAACATCTGGCGAATATGCGAACAGTGATTCTTCAACTGTTTCAGTGAGTGCTTACTCAAGCCGGATGCCACCGCACTTTTATACGCATTCAGCACACTTGGCTTCGCCAGTTGGCTCACAGCGTCGTTGCGGACATCCGTAGAAACGCACCAGAAGAGCGTGATCAGATTCAATGCTCATGCTCCAAATCGAGCGACTACTTTGGAAGCAGCGTCTCCGGCGGTAAGTGATTGCGATGTGATCGATTCGCGCCCATGTCTGGTAGGCGCCAAGTCCCTCTTCTGCGGCTCGCAAGAAAGAGACGAGCAACTTCACACAGGTGTAGCAACCGTTCAATTCGGGGGTCAGCGCCTGTCTTGACAAGCGCCGCATCTCATTTATCCGTTGGTGAGACGAGTCGGTGGCATTAAGCTTCCAGTATGAAAGAGAGGTTGAAGAGTCCTGTGGCATTTCTGACTTGAAAGATAGGACTCAGCTATTTTGGCTGCTCATTTCGGATCATCGACAAAACAGAAATGGTAGCTTGTGTTACTGCCGTAGTGACTTATAAGGTTTTCTGACCCTTTACGCACATGAGATGAATATCATACAAGTTCTGCAGTGTTGCTTAGGCCAGTCTCATCATGCATGCGCGCGGAAACATGGTTTGTTATGTTGGCATTTCTAGCCTAAATGATTCGACGGAAGGTATGTCACTAGCAAAAATCAAACGACTTTCTATGTGGCGTTTGTCAAGCCCCCTCCACAAGGATGTCGGCAACAACTCTTGTTCCATCGTGCATACAAAAATTGCTACCAACACCGGCTCCATAGGATTGCTCGCTGTCCAGACGTGGATCAGATAATTGCACTACCGTCAGAAGCAAGCCAAGCGACTTATTTACAATACACTAAGTTCCCTCAGATATTCCCAAGAAAAATGTCAGGGCTCATGCCCAATTTCAAGGACAGAGGATCCACGACCGTTAAGACATAAACTCCATATCCGACAGCATCAAAAGGAATTAATTGAGAACCGCGTAGCCTGATGACTTTGAACGGTGTCTGAGAGTAAGGCCGACCAACGTGTATCATTACGGTAGTGCGCAGCCGTCCTGAATGCACAGCATCCACCAAACCCCTGAACTGTGAGCAGCCTAACTAAGGATTCCATATATGTAACCACTCAGTTGCACTGCTGACAAATCACTCTGTGGAGATAGAGCAGTTAAAGAGCAATTGAAGTTTTAACTTCGTACTCGATTGACCCACAGCTTGGAATTAAACATGATTCACTCTGTAGTCGGAGCTATCCGTCAGGACGCCATAAATTATTGTGCTCATTTGGAGCTTGAACTGGAAAACCATGAATGTTCCGAATAGAATTATTATGTTTGTCTAATACTTGGAATACGCTGTACACATTTTACGCATCTATTGTTTAAAAATGTTCACATCGAAAAGGGCATACCTCGTAAACCCGAGAAGACACATTCCTATCACTACTACTACTACTGCTACTACTACTACTATTACTAGTAGTAGTAATAATAATAATAATAATAGTAGTAGTAGTAGTAGTACAGTTTCACTATTTTGAAACCTTTACAGTGAGAGAGAAGTTCGGACTGGTAAACAAGCGCTGCAGTGAACCATAGTTGCTGCACAATCAAACTAGTTGTATTCGTGAGGGAGAATTCAACCTGCTGAACCAGTAGGTTGGAAAACGGCTACTTTGGAGTCCTGAAGTCTAGAAAACAGCATCACGTTCGTCGAAAGGACATCAGTTTAGTTGGTTAGCAAGGCCCGACTGTTCGATGGTCGGTTAAACGCGCTGTGTGCACCAATGTAAAAACTAGCGTCAAGCACGCAAAAATCCGTGTCAACGATAACTCACACTCATCGCGTATGTGCTCCTCGCACACCAGGAACATGTGATCCACTTTATCCTCCGACATGTTTGTGTACAGCGTTTTCAAGTCTTCACGGAATTCCGTCTCATTGTAACCACGACGAAGCGTGATCTCAAACGTCTTCACATTAGCAATGAAGGCAGCCAACTTGGCTAGACACTTTTTTCCGGATCCGCTAACACCGACCAGTAATGCGTGCCCTCCATCCAAGCGCAGAATACGGTGTACCGTACTTAGGTGCTCCAGCGCGTCATTAAATAGCACCATATCCATGTTGCCCTCGGATTCACGATAGTTGGCCAGCAACTGTGGGGGACGGAAATGTGCTCGAAGGAAACTCGACCAATCAGTCAATTTGATCAATGTAATAATCAGAAAAATACTACTGTTGTCCAGAAATTTAGGTAGCATTCACTTTAGGTGCACAATAAAGTATAGTCTATAGCCTAGACATCAAGCGTCAAGGGGGAGGTTTATTAATAGCACTCTATGGGGAACTATGTGCCCCATGCTGAGGCTGATGTTGCATTCTTGATGCTTCTTCACCGCAGTTGGGCTAAACCAACTTACACTTAAACTAGGTCTTTTTAAGCTGGATAAATTTCATTCCGCTTTATTTGGTTTGTTCTGCCTCCCTGAATAATGTTCTATTAACTGGCCACGTTGCTTACACTAATTGCGCTTATCTTCGGTAATTTTGTTGCGTTTGTAACATTTGTAATTAACTTGTGGACATTTTTTACTTATCACGGATTTGTTGCTAACCAAATTACTTCATATGGTAATTTAGCGAAGAGTTATGCCACCGTATCTGCATGCATTATTGGATTTATTTTATTTCAGCTTGTCGTTTAAAGTGAATGGCTGTTGTTTGATATCCCTGGTATGGTTGCGCTTGATGTGTATGTTGACAAGGTGCCTACCTGTCTATTACCCACTACATCGTTCATACTGGCTCCAGGAGACAGTTGGTCGTTGCTGGAGGGGACAGGGTGCACGGTTCTTGTGGCCGTGCTAGGCTCAAAGAGCCGTTCCATGCACTCAGTGTGGAGCGGACTACGGTCCAGCCACCGCCTTGTGTGCGCTTGATTCCCAAATACGGGGTGCTTGTGTTTGCATGTGAAGGAGTGTGGGCCGGCTCCGTTGATGAAACGTGGTTCCCATCCACATGCCTCCGGTCTTATTCCTTCGGGTTTACACTGGATATGGGGTATGTGGTTGGAGCTGTGGGTGGTGCAGCGCAAGCCACCCATGGTCCCTCTGTAGGCGCAGGCGTCCTGTGGCTTGCCACAGTGACAGGCAAATCCGAAACCGGATGCCGCCAACCATGGGGAACTATCCAAGTATTTGGCAAGGTGTCGCCTTAAGAGTGGCTGAATGTGGAAGCGGCAACGGGACTGTAACGGGCGGGGTTGATGAACGCTTTGACAAAAGTGTCGGCACAAGTACGAACGATTCTACCCAACAAATTGTTTCGCCGTTGTGGTGATGCCGCATACCTCATGCTACATCGTGGCAGTCGAACGGTCGGCAACCGGAATGAACTGGATTTCAGCAGCATAGCAATATATTTCAGATAACCACGCATGACATCGTTTCGACAGGGAAGTGGGTAACATTTGCTCATACGAATGCCGGGTGGTTCTATCAAGCGGTCAAGCGGAAAGCAACCTGGAGGAGCCAATATCTACGTTTTAAAAGCTTCTCACCATAAATATTCTGTGGTCGGGACATTGTTCCATCGAGCTAACCTAATTTGTACACCAGACACACTTAAAGCAGAAAGTGTTTTGCTGTTCGACACGTTGCAATCCAATGGTTACCTTTTAAATTTCATAAAGCGCGTCTGTAACACGACGAAGCGAGAACCAACGACGGCTGTCGAGAATGAGCCGGTTTACATTGACCTGCCGTTCAATGGTGACCACATCCTGAAAGTCACCACGAAACGGATAAGTACCTCTTTGAAAACGGCGCATAATGCGGCAGAGTTGTGGTTGATCACTTCGACAAGACCATTGCTTATGTGTTCATTGAAGACATCGATGACGAAGCAGTGCATGTCCCACTGTTTATACAAATTGACCTGTAGCTTTGGGGGCAGCTACAATGAGTGCACGAACCGAAGCCTAGGCGTCAGGATCGATGAACACACCCCTAAATGATTGCGCAAGCGAATGGGATCTCAGACGGTGGAACCGTGTGAATCCAGAGGCAGGATAGCTTCGGCAATCACGGCTTTGGGAATCTACTGAAAAAAGGCCACAAACTCAACCCAAGTGACGCATTCACTGTCCTCATGTGTGACCAAAGACCGCATATACTCAAGCTCCTTGAAGCCATGTTAATCGATCGCGAGCCGCCGCCTCTGTGTGTACAGAAGCAATTGACAGTAACATTGAGCCTACCGTGATAGTGCCGCAGTAATATGTGGCCATCAATTGACAATCAATCGACCACATCGGACCTTCCTTCTTTTCAAATTGTTAGTTGCTTTGTACGTGACTAAGGAGATGGGCACGAAATGACCGGGTCATCTCACAGCTTACGTCTTCTGATACTTCTGTTTAATTTCCTTTCAAGATAATAAACGGTAACCCAAAATTCGCGTATTTCTCGCTGCCGTGATACATATGTTATCTTAGCCATGGCACAGAGAATTGGGGTCGCCGAACAAGATCTCTGTACGGGTTAACCCAAGAGACAGCCCTCAGCAAATACCATGCGTTTCAGCAGTCATGTCCGTTTTAACTCCGTTGTTCGGTGACAAAGGTGCACGCCGAGGGTCATTGACATATATGTTAATTAAGTTGTTAACCTTTCCTCTCGAACGCATGCGCGACAGTCACCATCATCAACAGCAATACATCAGCCATCTGAACTGATGCTTCGCTGCCATACAACCATGACGACCTATGAAATAAAGAATACAGGAGAGTAGTAGGGAGAGTTGAATGGTATAGGTAGAATTTTGTCACGTCATAAAGAATAAGGAGAGGGACAGAAGGGGGACTTACCTGAAAACCTTAATGCCCTAAGCAAACATGCAGGGTCAAGGCGTATACACCTTGTGTAGACAACATACAGTTATAAACAGCTGGCCATCGTGCAAACATAAGGCGGCATCGGCGAGACAGCTTCCTTGCGGCTTTCACTGCCACGCGTCATAATCAGCCATTACCCCGCAGATAGCTCAGCACCAAACACACTTTAAACAGGCAATCCGATTAGGAGACGGCAGCAGACGAGCCACTGGTGTCTACTGTGAGCCATATCCTGTAAAGTCTCGAGCCAAGCACAAGGCGAGTCACGTGGACTCCAGCCCGGAAGGCGAGACGGACCAACGGCACGCAGTTTGGTCGTCAGTGACTTCATTTTCTGCTGCCAAGTCAACTTCTATCCACCTCGAGCCTTGCTTCACTCTACACCTGACAGACTAAACAAGGCCCTCCCAGGTAAGCGGTGATCAGGCATGCGTAGCACGTGCCCCAGCCAATGCTACTTATTCAGTGCTATGTGTTGTTCTAGGGCGCTAGCATGATTATCACCACCTAGTACTCGCTTACGAACATCATCGTTGCGGACACGCTGATGCAATCCGACACCAGCAATGCTTCGCAAACAACGATGATCAAAGACTTGAAGGCGCCTCAGATCTTCAGACCGAAGGGGCCAAGTCTCACTACCATACAGCAGAACGGCCGTCACTGTGGCCTTGTATACCTGACTTTCAGACGGAGGTAAACTCCCTTCTGTCGCCAAAGATGCCGCAGGTTCAAGAAGATAGCTCTGGCTTTTGCAATGCGTGAGCTGACGTCAGTTTCTATGCGGCCATCATTGCTGATACAGCTGCCAAGATAAGTGAAATGATCAACAACCTCGAGTTCCTCGTTAGCAAGCCTTAAGGGGTCATCAAGTGGCTGGTGGTCCTGCATCAACACTTTGCACTTTGAAGGTGCGAAGTGCATACCAAATAATGGGACCACTCTGGACAGGCTATTAAGGGTTGATTGTCGAAAAGCAAGGCGATATCGTCCACATAATCTAGATCAACTAACGTTTCATCAGGCAGCACTTCAATGCCTACATCGTGAGATTCCGCAAGGGAACACTCCATGATAGAATCCACGACGAAATTTAGCAAAAATGGGGAAATCGGACAACCCTGACGAACGCCACTTGTAGTCGGAAAGCTATCCGACAGGGCACCGTAGATCCTGACGCGGCCTGTAGTGTTCGAGTATAGAGCCCGAAGGATGTTCACATATTTCGTTGGAACACCTTTCCGCGCAAGTATTTCGAACAGAATCGATCGATCAACTGAATCGAACGCACTCTTGAAATCGAGGAACACAGCTATTGTCGGTCAGCGGTATGCGTGGTGCTGCTTTAGCACCTGCCGCAAAGTAAATATATGGTCTATACAGCCACGTCCTTCCTGCGCATCCCAAATCCGAGCTTCCCGTTCCGCAGTGAGGCGACGAACGAGAATCGAGGCCAATAATTTTGTCACAACTGGCGTTAGGCTAATACCCCTGTGGTTCGCACAGTCTGTGCGACTGCCCTTCTTGTATATTGCCACTATAATCGATTCGCTCCAATTAGCCGGCACACTCTCTTCGTTCCAGATACATTCGAATAGGGAGGTCAGTGCCCTGCAGAGGACCTCACCTCCATCCTTAAATAGTGCAGGTGGGAGGGAATCCGGGCCAGCGGCACGAAAACGATTGAGGGCTGTGATCGCGTTTCGGACCTCGGCCTCCGACGGAGGCTCTAGACTAACCGTCCATGGCACGTCCTGCATCACTTGAGCAGGAAGAGGTCCGGGAGCAAGGGGCCAGCTGAACTGAGCTTCAAAGTGTTCAGCCCAACGAGCCATACGGCGCTCCTTATTGTGTATCAGCGTATCCGCGCTGTCTTGGATTGTCTCACGGACGCCTGGTTTTCTGGGACCAGTGGTGCGGATCAGCTGGAAGAGCTTGCGGTAATTTCCTACTGCTCCTGCCTCCTCCATTTCTTGAGCCCGACTGGTTTCCTTGTCAGCACGCAGGCTCTGTTTTAGTTCACGCCTAGTAGCCCGTCTGGTTACATTGTGTTCAGAACCAGCCGGGAGGTGTCTTCTAGATTCCAACAGGTTCACGGACCTCTCGGATAGCCAGTGACTGGTGCGGTGACGATTGATAGTGCCACAAGCAGATGCTCCTGCGTCGTGCATGGCGGCCGACATCCTATTCCACTGAAGCTCAGCGTCATTAGGACAAGACAGCGGAAGTTCGGTATGCAGTGCTTCTTGATAGGCTTGCTTG